TCTCCAGCACCACATCTCAAAGGCATCAATTCTCCTTCTATCCTCCCTAGTCATTGTCCAACTCTCTGATGCGTAACAAGTGACAGCAAAGACCATGGCCTGTATCAAGCGCACCTTAGTCTCCAGAGAAACACCATTGCTCTTCAGTACTTTGGAGAGGTCCCTAACAGCAGACTTTCCCATGGCAATGCGCCTTTTAATTTCCTGGCTACTGGTGCCAAGAGTGTTGACTGTGAAACCAAGTAAACTAAAGCTGTGAACAATCTCAATCTCTTAACCATCCATCCTGATGCTGCCAATTGGCCCAGTGGTGAGAATCTTTGTCTTCTTGACATTGAGCCTGAATCCATATTGGAGGCTGCAGTCCTTGACCCTCTGCAGCAAGCACTTCAGGTCCTCCTCAGTTTCAGCAAGCAGGGTTGTGTCATCTGTATAACACAGATTGTTGATAGATCTTCCACCAATCTTGACCCCACATTTCTCCTCATAGAGCCCAGCCTCCGGGATAATCTGATCTGCATACAGGTTGAAAAGGTATGGAGATAGGATGCATCCCTTGCGTACGCCCTTCCCAATTTTGAACCATGCAGTGTTCCCCTGCTCTGTTCTGACGACTGCCTCTTGGTCCAAGTATAGGTTTCGCATTAGAACAATCAAGTGTTCTGGGATTCCCATTCTTCTCAGAGTCAGCCAGTTTGTTATGATCCACACAGTCAAATGCCTTTGCATAGTCAATGAAACACAGATAGACATTCTTCTGGTATTCCCTGCTTTCAGCTACAATATCCCTAGTACCACGACCCCTTCTAAACCCAGCCTGGACTTCTGGCATTTCTCTGCTGATGTGCTGTTGCAGTCGTTTTTGGATAATCTTCAGTAGACTCTTGCTTGCATGTGAAATCAACGATATTGTTCTATAGTTTCCACACTCTGTTGGGTCACCCTTCTTTGGGATGGGAACAAATATAGATTTCTTCCAGTCAGCTGGCCCTGTGGTTATTCTCCAGATTTCTTGGCACAACTTGGTGAGCACATCCAGGGCAGCATCTGTTAGCTGAAATATGTCAATTGGTATACCATCTGTTCCTGGGCCTTATTTTTTGCCATTTCCATCAAAGCAGCTTGAACTTCTTTCATCACCATAGGCTCTTGCTCATATGTTGTTTCATGAAATTCTTCTGTGTCGTGTCTGCCAATTCCTTTCGATACAGTGACTCAGTATATTCTTTCCATCTTCTTTTAATACTTCCTGGATCATTTAATATTCTTCCTAAAGCATCCTTGATTATAGCAACTCGAGGTTTGAATTTGTCTTCAGTTCCTTGAGCTTAAGAAATGCTGAGCGAGTTCAGCCCTTTTGATTTTCTGACTCCAACTCCTTGCACATTTCATTGTAATATTTTACTTTGTCACCCCATGCCGCCTTTTGAAATCTTCTATTCAACTCTTTGGTATCTTGAGTTCTTCCTTGTGCTTTGGCTTCTCTGCGCTCCAGTGCAATTTTCAGAGTATCTTCTGACATCCATTTTGGTCTTCTCTTCCTCTTCTGTCTTTTCAATGACCATTTGCACTCTTCCTGGATGATACCCTTGATATCTTCCCACAACTCATCTGGTCTTCGTTCATTAGTGTTCTAGGCCTCAAATCTGTTCCTGACATGGTTCTGAAATTCAGGTGGGATAGATTCAAAGTCATATTTTGGTTCCCATGGATTTGGTTTAATTTTTCTCAACTTCAGCTTGAACTTGCATATGAGTAGTTGGTGGTCTGTTCCACAATCAGCTCCTGGCCTAGTTTTCACAGCTGATATTGAGCTTCTCCAGCAGTTCTTTCTGCAGATGTAATCGATCTGATTCCTATGCATACCATCAGGTGAAATCCATGTATATTACCTGTGTTTATGTCTCTTAAAAAACGTATTTGCTATAAGTCATTGATTGTGCAAAAGTAAATCAGTGCAAAAGTAAATCATTCTCTCTCCAGCTCCATTTCTGTCATCGAGTCCATGTTTTCCAACTACTGAATCTTCTGTTCCCAACTTTTGCATTCCAGTCACCCATTATTATCAATGCATCTATATCCTCTTCCTTGGCTCTGGTTGTTGGTGCATATAAGTCAATGATAGTAGTATTCACTGGACTTCCTTGTATGCATATGGATATTATCCTGTCACTCACAATATTCAAAATATTTAATTGTGCTAGAGAGGGTGAAGCCAGCCTGCTTCTTGGAGGCAAGGATTCTAAGGCTTCGTCTGACATAGTTTGGGCATGCTGCAAGGAGGGACCAGTCCTTGGAGAAGGACATCATGCTTGAAGGGGTGGAGGGACAGAGAAAGAGAGGGAGACCATCTATGAGATGGATTGATACAGTGACTGGGGTAATAAGGGCAGGTGTTTTGGAGACAGTCAAGTTGCCCAGGATAGAGCAGGTTTCAGGGTTCTTGTACAGAGGTCACTATGAGTTGCAGGCGACTCGACAGCACATAACAACACATATGAAACCTACACCTAGACCAAGAGGCTGTTAATCAAAGCAAGGGACTACTGCATACATTAAAATCAAGAAAGGTGTGCAACAAAGCTATGTTTTTTCTCTATACCTATTCAATCTGTATACCAAGAAAATCATTCGAGAAGCTGGACTCTATGAAGAAGAATGTGGCATTAGGACCCGGGGAACACTCATCAACAACCTGTGCTATGTAGATGACACAACCTTGTTTACTGAAAGAGAGGAGGACTTGAAACACTTACTGGTGAAGATCAAAGAAGACAGGCTTCAGTATGAATTACATCTCAATGTCAAGAAAACAAAAATTCTCACCACTGAAATAATAACATCATGATGGATGGGGAAAAGATTGAATTTATCAACAACTTCATCTTGCTTCGATCCACAATCAACACCCTTGGTACCAGCAGTCAGGAAATAGAGACATATTGCACTAGGAAAGTCTGTAGTCAAGGACCTCTTCAAGGTACTGAGGAGCAATGATGTCAGTTTGAAGACTAAAGTGTGTTTGCCTCAAGCCATGGTCTTTTCCACTTCTAAGAGCTGAACAATGAATGAGGATGACAGAAGAAGAATCGATGTCTTTGAGCTGTGGCGTTGGAGGAGAGCACTGAACCTCTGCTGAATGGCCAAGAGAACAAACAGGTATGTCTTGGAGAAAGTGTTTGCAGAGTGTCCCATAGAGGCAAAGATGACAAAGCTTCGCCTCAGACTTTGAGCATGTTGCTAGGAAACTCTGTTCCTTGGACTTGATGCTTGGAAAGGTTGAGGGTCAGCACAGGAGATGAAGACCCTCAAACGGGTGGACTGACACAGTGACTGCCACAACGGCCTCTAACGTGTCAGGAAGTGTGAGGACGGCACAGGATAGGACAGGGCTCAGCTGTTCTTCATATGGGTCATACGCGACCCGACAGCACCTAACAACAAAAATCTCAACCAGCAGGTCAATCGTGAGGGCGCTGAGTGCGACTGAGCGACGTGGTTCCGTCTGGCAGTCTGTGAATACTGACCTAGCTCTGGTCTCAGGATCAGAGTGCTGCGTGGAAAGCCAGTGTGAGGACAGAACTGGACAGAGGGGAACAGAACAACAATCGGTGATCTACTGATTTGGTGTAAAAACAGTGGGCTTTGATCTCCCTGCGCTTTTTGGAGAAGAGACAGATCGACAGAGTGACAGAGGCTGGTCATGTCATGACAAACACAGAAGTTGAAGGGGTACAGAGAACCCAAGGAATCCCAGGATCCACTTGGGTCCAAAGAGGTGAGGAAGGCTCTCCCTGCTGCCTGGCCAGCAGCTGACCTCAGACAGCTGGCTCCAGGGGCAGATGCAAGTTCCTGTCCTATCTGCTCCTGCGACAGTCTGGGAAAGGACAGCCCTCCAGACACCTTGGGAAAGGGTGGCTCTCCTGCCCCTGCCATGGACCTCCAGACACCTCAGGAAATGGTGGCCCTCCTGACACCCCAGGAAAGGGTGGCTTGCTGATGCGAAGAAGCCCAGTGCTGAGAAGCCCCACTGGTGACCTGCTTTGTGTCTGGTCTAGTGTGCCCACTGCTTTAGACAGACAGCTCAGGCGGTCTTCACACACATGAACCCCCCATGGTGGGGGTTTCTGTCCCAAGGCCCAAGGCTAAGCTGTCACACACATCAGTGTCATCTACAGTGAGGAGAGAGAACAGCTGGACTGGTGGTAGACCAAGAGGTCACCCTCAGGGCCACAGCTTCCCGGGGCCACGGCCCAAGTACACTCCTACTGTAGGACGGTGCTGGGTAGTGTCCACCACTCAGCAGGAATCCAGGGGGCCCCCTTCCACTCCAGAGCTCAGTGGCTGGGTGCGTTCGTCCTTCCCAACACAAACTGGCCGCGGGCCTTGGGGGAAAGTGGACAGGTACTTGGCCATCACACCACCAATACCGCCCCATCCTCAGAAGGCGTCAGCAGAGTCCACACAGCACCTGGAGCTCAGCTTCCTGCAGGACACACACTCGAGTCCACAGTCCACCAGGCCCCGCTCGGGGCGCCTGTGGCCGAGGCTTGAGTGGCTCTCCAGCGGCTGGTCACACACTTACCTGTCACTTCAGCCACGTTTGCTTGGCAAGCAGTTGACATCAAAGCTGCCAGGACTGCCCTGTGTTCCCCCTGCCGGGTCATCAGTGCGCCCCCTACCCCGCACAGCATGTCAGGTTCTTGGCTCGTCTCTCCTGGAAGTGGCCCCAGTGCCCAGGCTGGTGACAGCGAGGCTGGTCACACCACAGTTCACTCGGCCCCTCAGTCCAGCCTGGCACACTCTCTCTGACCCCTCGGTCCCGCCAGGCACCCCGTGCTCCAACCCTTCTGTCCCCGCAGGGCACCCCGTGTCCTGGACCCTCGGTTCCCACCGGGCAACCCACACCCCGGCCCCTCAGTCCAGCCTGGCACCCCGCGCTCTGACACCCCCCCTCAGTCCCTGCTGGGCATCCCGCATCCCAGCCCCTTGATCCCCACTGGGTGCCCGCGCTCCGGTCCCTGTGCGCTGGCCCCTCAGTCCAGCCTGGTTCGCGGCCCAGCCCCTGGGTCCCTCCAGGCACCCTGTGCTCCGGCCCCACAGTCCTGCCGGGCACCCCGCGCTCTGACCCCTCGCTCTCAGCTGGGCACCCCGCACCCCGCCCCTCTGTCCCTGCTGGGCACCCCGCGCCCTGGCCTCTCGGTCCGCGCCGGGCACCCCGCTCTCCATCCCAGCAGTCGTGGCAGCCGCCCCGCGCCCCGACCCGGCCGCGTACCTGCTTGTCCCTGGCGCGGGGGTCCGTGGCGCCGTTGCTGCCGCTGGCGTCGGCCACCACCGCGAAGCTGTGCCCTGCGCGGGCCGGCGGGCAGACGTGGGACCGGCACCCAGGGGGAGGAACACGCGC